ATTGTGAACATCATCCCTATGTCACTCGTGGATTAACGTTGTCTTCTTTAAATATTTCTTAAAAAAAACTCCGAGTCAACGTAAAACTTTATCGCTTTCTGGATTAATTGAAAAAAAATACAATTATAGAGGTAGGATTCGTAAAAGCAAAAGGCTTTGCCGGAAATTGACACATTGGTAGCTGGCAATCTGTTTGTATTCAACCCAGATTCCTGCACGACTGAGCTGAAAAACGTGAAGACTTCTATGTAAGTAGAGTACATGTGATCTAATCATAGACATAAAAGAAATAATAAGCAATACACTTGCACAATCTTCATTTTCAGAAGTCCTTAAGAACTAACGTAACATCCAACGATAAAATCTGCACACTGAAATGTCCGACAAAAAGCTGTTTATTATTATTATTATTTTCTCTTCATTTCACAGCTTTAAATGGTACCACATCCCTAGGGTCGAGCATCGAGCAGTCTAAAGCATGTTGATGTTTTTTTATATTACCCCTAGATCTTTTAACAAGTTGGTGGATTTATATTTATTATTATTAATGTTATTTTTATTGTTTTGTTACTGTTATCATTATTTTCATAAGATGTTTTGCAAATACTTTAGTCTGGAAATTCTGATACTTGAACGGGTTGAACCATATTCATATAACTAATTCTATTGTAAAAATTGTCTTACAATGGTTGTGGTACTGAGTGTAATTAGTTTCTGTATTTGGCACTGTATCTGCGGATTCAATCCAAATAAGTCTAGATTGCTTATAAATGACTGCCGTCTGATACCTTGTCACTTATATTATCGGTATTATTTCCACCTTATTTTGTTTCCATAGTCTTTTGATTTCTTGTACAAGAGGAATATATTTACCGATCTTTTATCATATTTTATTTTTGTGTTATGATCGCTTGGCACTGCCACATTAACCTCGTAGGCTACACGTTATTTTGTCAGTCGTTTAGCAAAAATTGTATACTTTGTGTATTGTGTTCTCCGTTACAGTATCTGGTGTATATTTATAATGTGATTCGTTATATGATGTCAACTCTTGTGTGTATGCTAGCGTCTTGTGTATTACATGTTACATTTTGGGGATTCATCTATTTCAAGTCAGGGATCTCTCAGGATGTACTTCTTTCAGTTGCGTGTGTTTATAAATTGGTCCATCCAGGCAGTTGCAAGTTCTTCTGTCTCAGGAAATATAATACCTCCCTTCCGCCAATCATTTGTTGCTGTTATGTGTATGCTTTCATCTTGTATTATATTCACATGTCTTCCATGGAGCGCATTTCTTGACCATCGTTGTCTCAAGTCTTCTTGATTATTTTAATATTACGAGGGATGTCTTTTACGTTTTGCATAATAGAAACAGAGTAGGCCGCGCGGATCGTACGTCAGTACTGAATCTTAACCTCACTCTTTAGTAAACTTAAATTCAAAGTTTCACAACAATATGTGCAGTGTTCTCACTACATTGAATTTTTAAGTGTCACCAAGTCATTAGAAAAATGGAACTCAACCGAGAACATTTTCGCGCCATAATTTATTACAACTTTCAGAGACAATTATCGCAACAAGAATGCCTTACTGAGTTACTGTCTGTCTTCGGCAACGAAGCGCCACATCAGTCGACAATTTCCCATTGGTATGAAGAATTCAAACCTGGACGGGTGAGTCTTAGCGACGATCCCAGGGTGGGTGCACCAAAAACGGCAGTTACCCAGGAAAACGTCGATGCTGTGCGCAAACTCATCATTGAAGATAGACATGTGACATATCGCGAGATTGAGGTATCCTTGAAGATCTCAAAGACCTCAATTCAACAAATTTTACATGAAGAATTAGGAATAAGAAAATTAGTTGATCCTGACCTGTTGACTGAAGAGCAGAAAGCAGCCAGGGTTAATTGGTGTCAAAAAACGCTTAACCGTTTCAATTCCGGAAACTCAAAAAATGTGAACAGCATTGTTAGTGGTGATGAATCGTGGATCTAGTGTTATGAACCAGAAAATAAATGACAGTCGGCTGTTTGGGTGTTAAAATGTGAAGAAAAGCCAACAAAAGTCATCCGTTCTCGAAGTGTTTCGAAAAAGACATTTGTGTCAAAAGCGGGTCATATTGCAACAATTCCTCTTAATGAGCAAAGAACTGTTACTGCGGATTGGTATACCACCATTTCTGTGCCAAAAGTCATCACCGAGCTTCGAAAAATCAACCTCGAAAGAACAATCATCCTCCACCAAAACAATGCAAGCTCGCACTCAGCCCAAAAAACAAGGCAGTATTTAGTGGAAGAAAACTTGGAATTATTGGACCATCCTCCATATGGTCCCGATCTAAGTCCTAAGGATGTCTTTACTTTCCCGAAGATTAAAAACAGACTGCGTGGTCAAAGGTTCCAGTCATCAGAAGAAGCAGTTGCCGCATTCAAAAATGCCGTGTTGGATCTGCCAACAAACGAGTGGAATAAGTGCTTCGAAAATTGGTTCGAGCGCATGCAGATGTGTATTAATATTCGTGGAGAATACTTCCAAAAAACAATAAAGTCCGTGTTGTTTTATTTCCATATGCAAAACTTAAAAGACATCCCTCGTATTATTATGATTATTGTTATTAATATATGGACCATACATAGCGGACAGCATTTTTGCCTGCTTTAGTAAAATTTATTTATAAGGTTTTACGGTCTCTTGTCTGAAAAATATATAGTAATAGTTTTTTTGAACTGATAGAACAAATATTAACTATTTAAGACCTACTTAATTAATAAAAGTTTCAACTATCCTATTGTTTCTCTCGAGCTACAGCTGCAGTGAATTTCTCATTCATCATCTCATTTGTTGCATCAGCTGTGGTGTCACTTGTTGACCAGGTTAAGAGAGATGATACAGAAAGTACACCAATATTCGACCCATCCCGGAGAGGTCTTTGATCAACCTCAATGTTTATCGACAAGTTGATAAAATCAACTGATCTTACTGGAGGACGTGTAGCATTTGTTTTCGCATACACATAAATAGAAAGTTCTCGGAAATGATAAATGGAAGCAAACCGCATTTCAGCTAATTGGAAAAAGATTGTACCCCTTAGCATTCATAAGGTGACTTATTGAGAACAGAAATAAAATACAAATAAATTTCTTTTGATGGCAATTCCTGGAAGGTGAATATTTACACGATGATGTAGTATTTTTCGCGAGTTTTCATGACGTCAAACGTGAGTAAAAATAACAGCTGGTTATGTAGTGACATGTCAAAACAAGTAACATACAATTCTGACAGATCTTTCTGCTTCAGGTCTGTTGGCAGAGCCTTATTTTGTTGTGATCTTTTGTATGCTACGGATACATACTTCCTAATAACGCTTTTCTCTAGAAAAGCTCCTTTGCGTACCGGAAAAAACGCTACAAGCAAAGTGGCTGTTAATAATCATGACCATATTTCAAGTCAGTTAGGAATCAAAACAGTTTGTGACTATGTTTGGTATGAGTAGTCTTGAATATAGTACTGAGTTTTACCCGATTCACACCCGAATCATTATTAAAAACACAACAGACTTTAATACACTATGTCACTTGCTAATCAGCTGTTCACCTCAGTAGACGTCAAAACGTAGTGGAGACCTGGCTGGCAATGAGAGCAGCTGATACCCACCTAGTATTGTTATTAAAAGACCATATACCAAATAGCAAATTTTGGGTTATGCGAACTAATTTTATTTCACTTTTGACTGAATCAACGAAAATATTATATAAATCGCGTAATAAGCTGCCTATATCCTGGCTATTTTCGAAAACCAAAGCCACAACGATCTGCAATGTGTATACACGGTACTTGAAACTATTGTGAACCGTCAACAGTTGACCAGTAATTGGAGATGAGTTCAGTAAATACAGCGTGTCCCATAATAAAGTTAGCAATACCTCGAATGAATGTAAAACACAAAAAATGCCACAAGATTCTATAAAAAATACCTTACTGGGCTTTCCTACGTAGATAGTGGTCCCTAAAGTATGCTATCGGAAATCTGTTCTTCTAAACTGACACTGTATAATTCTACCAAATTTTGACAGAAAATAAATTTGTTAAAAACTGACGTCGCAAGGTCCATTCAATTCAGATCTCTAGGGACAGACTATGCCTAACGTAGTATTTTTGATTTTTTTTACACCCCACATAATAATGACTCCAAAAGGGTATTTTCACAAATCAGCATCCTTTAACTTTGATTACAATAAGGAAAGCAATTTTTGAGAAGAACGATCTTGTTTCAATACCTGATTCATACTGCAGGCGATTCCCAAAAAAGATCAAAATATTTCTAAAACATGACTAACTGGTCTTGTAATGTGGTATATCCTGTGTTCTTTCGTGTCGCTATTACGAATCTGTCATCAGAGTTATCGTATTTTCAGATTGGTGCATCCGGTACCAAATTTCTTGGGTTGGGTTAATTTATAAAAATAAAAAATTAATCATTTATTTCAGTTAAATGATTTTCAGCTTCCCATAAGTATCACTCGTAAGCTATAAATGTACAGGCTGTGAGAAAATTAGCACTAGATAAGGGCTAGCCCGTTTCTGAAAATCTCAATGGTTTGGCTGTTCTACATAGGCATCATTGTGAGGCTTCAGTTGGTTACTGTTACTGTTCTGCCAAGGTTTCGTTAAAAAGCTATTTAAGAAAATCGTTTTCCAGTAGCGCCCTTTAGGGATATATATCTCGGTAGGAAAGCAACATCTTTATTTGTGATAATGTAACACCTGCATATATATATGAACAGAACCCTCTTTTGATTTTAGTCCTGTTCGTACAGCAGTCGCCAACCAGTGACTGGGTGCAAGACCCGGCCAACCAAATTCCGTTCACTCTGCTATGCTACGTATAAATAGATGGAATTCAGACGGCCGGTTTCCCAAAACAGTCACCGACCACTGTACTAACAAACCTTTTATAGCTTCTAAATAGTTCTGCTTAAGAGAATTTTATCTTCTTACCTTCAGTACGCCAATATTGCTGAACTTTTCCCAGGACAAGTGTCCAGTTTCGCCTGGCCCATATATCCTTGAGCTTGTAACTGTGGTAGGACCCAATCCATCTCCCACAAATAGTATCACATTTTTCGCAATACCATCTATGGTTCTTTTAGTAAGAGCCTCTTTGAGTTCCTTTTCACCTAAAGTTCTCCAGTGGGCTTGATCTGGAACCCAAAATCATCTGTTACGATTGACTTACTGAACGCTAGGTCAACCGAATACTGAACCAATATTCAATATTCAGTATGACGGTATTACCCTGTACAATGACGCTTGCATAGTACCGAAGGTGACAAAATGAAAAGTCAAGTATATTGAATATTTACTCGATCATTGTTAAAGAATAAACATCTAATTTTATATCTCTGTTCAAATAATTTACTAAGCAAAATTTTGTACAGCAAGGACAAAAGTCAATGATCTAGTTTGATTGACCTGATTGAAACCAATAAAGAGAAGGAATAGGTCTTGTAGCTAGCCTCAATGGACATGCTGATGGATTATTAACAATATGTTTTCTTTTAAATTATCTCTCTCAGGTAAGTAATAATAATAACAATAAATCGTCTTTATTTAGGGGGCGAAGTTGCATAATGCTACTCTGCCACTTAAACCCAAAAAAAAAGAAAAACTGAAAAAACAATACAAAAAACATAAATACATTGGACAAGTTAGAAGATTACAAATGTAGGTGTATAAAAAATATGGTATATAACATATATAGGTGAAGGCTATTCAATATTTCATGATTTAAAAGTATAAAATTGTAACAGTCATACAAAACAAAGAAATGCTATATTGGAAATATTTTTGCGTGGGGTGACAGATAAATTTTATCAACTAATTTATATACTTCTATTCAAAATAAATTTCTTCATATGTCTTTTAAATTCATCATATGATAGCAATCTTGTGGATCGAGGTAGAGTATTGTAAAAAATATAATTGCGTTGTAGGTGAAGCATTCACGAAAGAATGATGTCCTGTGGAGGGGCATTGTGAGTGTCTCAGTGAATCGAATGTCCCTAGAATGGATATTGCTTCTAGATATCAGCTTATTTCTCAAAAACGGCGGAATGGATGACAGTAAAAGCCTGTGGGTGTAAGTAACTAGATGTAGCTCACACAGTTCATTTACTCTCAACCACTTCATGTCATTGAAAAAAGGGCTGATATGATCATATTTTTTCAAATTATTGATCAACCTAAAACATGAGTTTTGGATTTTTTGGATTACGCGCTAGAGATATTGAGTTAAGAAATGGAAGATAAACTAAATCGCAGTAACCAATTTTGGACATTACCAAAGATTCACTCAAAATTTTTGTTGTTGTAAAGTCAAGAAATTGTTTATTAAGATATAATTGACGTAAAATTGAAAAACAACTCTTACTGATCTTATTTACATGTTGTATAAAATTTAGACATTCACCTAAAGTAACGCCCAAGTTTTTCACTGACTCACTTACTTCTATAGTCTCACCATTTAATTTTACTTTAAAATAGTCAAATGAAACAATATGTTTTTGTAGCTAAACCAGGTGATATATAAAGTATTTCTTGATTTATTATGAGAATAACGGGCTCATCTTACACAAATGGTATAATTTTTCTCGAGCTTGAGAAATATTTTACAAGAAATCGACTATACTCTTTAGATTAATTTCTGCAAAAATGCTTTTTGGTTTGTCGAGAACTTTGCGTCCCAGATTAGGGGCCTAGGAGTCGTACTTTCAGTCGCTGTTTTTCGCTTTCCTACTTTGAAGGACCCTTCTTTTGGACATAGCTGTTTTCTGTCAATTTTGTTATATACTTCAGGAAGGTAAAACTGGAACCTAATTTTGGTTAAATAGTAGTATTTTTACAATAGAAAAAAGTAAAATATGTATTTTTGCAATAATATTAAAAACACTTTCTTTAATTTTAAACTAAAACAGTCAAATCCTAAGCTAAAATATAGAAACAGTCAATTTCTAAGTTAAAATATGGTGTCATTTATATAAAAGAAAAGTAAAATATTGATTTTGCAATACAAAATGACTAATGGGCTTCATTAAAACAAACTAAGCAGTAGGCCGGCTTCCCCGCGCACTCCTCGCAGTGAGTGTAGACTTTTTTACCTTTTTGTCAGCTTCGCGACTAGTCATTGTTCTTCTTAGTAATTTGTAGCATCCTACACATTTTCTCCTCTTTTTGTTATCGGTTTCCTCTACAGTAAAGGTATGGTATCTTTTAGGAGTTCTTGGCCGTTCTGGCTGCAGTTCTTCTCTGCCACACTGATAGAAATATTTCGCTAGTTTTTCTCTAAATTGGAAAATTGAGAGCTTGTTGGTTGGATGTTGATGGTTAAAGCAAGCATTGAGGATTGCTGAATTAAAAATTAATTCAACTGCAATTTTTTTGTAACATTTTAAACTCTGTCGGAGGGGGCTCTCGTAAGATGCTATCTGCTCACTGTAATCGACACCTTTGTTTGCGTTATTGCAATCGCTAACACACTGTGGTTTTTTTACAGTCTGTCCTTTCACAGGTTGAGAGCATCAGAACCGGTCTTTTATCTACCCACTTCATAATTTTTATGCCCTTTCCAGCTATTTGATCTCTTTTAAGCTTTTGTGAAATAATATTTTTAGGAACAGTTTTGCGATTCTTTCTCAAGGTACCACAAATTTTTGTTTTTTGGTCTTCAAATATTTTGCCAATTCATAAGAAGTATAAAAATTATCGCAATATAAAATGCGGCCCTATTCATAGTAGTTACTAAGTAATGAATCCACTATAAACTCTGCGTGGCTGACGGTACGATCCGTCTTCTTTACCCGAATAAATTTTGAAATTAATCACATAACCATGCTAAGTCTGTACAGTTTCACACCATATTTGTGGGATTTATTTTTTATATATTGTTTCATTCTTAGGCCCCTCCATGGTATCATAGACTCATCTATAACTACTTTTTTGGGACAATCACTGCTTCTTTGAATGTCTTTGTCAAGCTGTCAATCAAATGGCGAACTTTGAACAGTCTGTCTTCGCCAGTATCATCTATGTTATTCATGAAATGCCAGCATCTTAAAATAATTAAAAATCGGTCCTTGTCATACAAGATGATATAAATTTATTATGATATAAGGAATCTTTGGACCAATACAAATTCATTATTGGAGCGTTCACAATCCCCATGGCTATTACTATGGCAAAAAAGTTTTGCAATTCATTATGATCTACTGATTTCCATGAATTTAGTTTTGATTTAGTTCTTGTGACATCAAATTTTCAGCATATCTATTAGTCTCTTGAACCATTTTCTCGATCAACTCGTCATTAACAAACAACTTCAAAAAATCGATAGGGGAAGAAAGGTCAGGTGGTACGTTACAACTGATTTCATTATCACACAAAGTAGGAAACAATTCGCTAGAGGACACTGTTATATCGACCCAAGTTATATCAGATGGGCCAGGAGCATTTTGTGAGGCATTATTTTGGCTTAACAGGAGCACATCTTGGGAGACTTCGAACTAATTTTCATCACTGGATAAACTATCACCGGATGAACTTGGTATGTAATCTTTGTCTATCAGGGAGTCATCTGAATCTTCATAAAACGAACACTCGGACTCCGACTCACTTTGCCTTGACATAGCTTGTGCAAGATCAACAAGTTTTTTTCCACGAGACATTTTTGCGATTAGTACCACCCACGACGGCGTATGCTTGCCAACTGAATAACTTTACTGTAAGGTATTACACTCTAATTCGAGAAAAATCCTGCATAGACTTGTTGAAAATAATGATTAGATGCGGGTCGGGGTAAAATTGACCCGTAAACGTGTGACCCCGTACCGCAAGTAAGTAAAAATTAATAGGTTGTATGCGATTTGGGGCCTATTTGGGTAGTACTGTTTTTTTGTCGAAGAAAAATAGTACTTAAATTGCAATTCTATAGCTATAAAAATCTTTTTTTTATCTTGAAAAATAAAAATTTGACAAGCTTCGCAATATGGCAAAAAGGCAAAATGTCCACCGCACCAGGTGATAGTGCGATACGAGTCATATTAGCCCCGTAACGCAGTGAACGTGTTAAACAACTACTACGGCGCCACCTACTGAAATGGATGTATCAAAGATGACGCGCAATTTAAATCAGTCAGTTGTATATTGGCCGAAAATGGATGTATACACAAACTTGTTTGATAAACGTCAACAGCCGACCGAAGCCGGGGTCATTTCCCAGGCAGCATACACCATTGCACTCCAGAATCAGCCCTCAGGACGTTACCAAAATGATAAAAACAAAATATTAACGCCACTGACTCTCAGATAGAAGAGAAAAGATGTGTCGCTGTGGAATAAATGATAAATTGCAGATCCGCGACGTCCTCAAAGCATCAAAGGATTCACAAAATCACACACCACTCCATAAAAAATGATGTAACGGATGTTACCACGTCAAGATTTTCAATTATGTCTTGAAAGTGAGATAGGACTTCAGCAGAGACAATATTTTTAATTTCATGCTGCGATAATCTCTTGTCGCCAGGGACGTTTTTTAGAATACTCTGTGTAAAAAAAAACCTTCTGTACGTTTTGCCTACTTCGTCATTGAAGAGTCATGAAACACATGTCGGGAAATTACATATAGTGGAGGACCGTTAGACGTAAAAGCACAAAACCCTTTGAGCCCGGGTCCACTGAATAGATATTTGAGCTTTTTAGCATGATGCGCTTGAAAACTGTACATTAAAAAGTTTACTCATTAACGTGTACGCTTCATGGTTTTAGACTTTTTTCAATTTTCATAAAACTTTCTATGCATTCAGGTTCATAATATACCTGCTAGTGGATCCGATAAAACTGAACAAAAAGGGTTATGTAAACTCACGCATTTTACATTATCATAACTGAGATACAGGATGTTCAAGTTCATTTCTTTTAGTTTTCAACCGTAGACATGAGGGAACTAAATTTGCATTGTTTATCTGACTCAATTATCATAGAGGAGGCGCTATTAAAAATTAACAGGATATTTCTGGGCTTAACTAAGCACGCCACCGGTTTATTTGTCAGTGCGATCAAGCACGATTCACACAAAAAAAAATACTTGTAACAACTAAGAGCAACTAGAAAAATCGGCCACATATTGAAGCTTCTGGTATAAAAC